TAGTCTTATTGTTTCTCCTCTGTATGTGACTTCTTGTTTTTCACGAGCTGCTCTCAGGATTCTTTGTTTGTCTTTAATTTTGGTGAGTGTGAATATGATATGTCTTGGTGATTTTCTTTTGGGGTCTCTTCCATATGGGGTTCGTTGAGCTTCTTGGATGGCCAGCTTTTCATCTTTCATGATATTGGGAAAGTTTTCTGTCTATTTGCTTGATATATTTTGTCCATTCTTTGAGTTTTAGTTTGTGTCTTTAAGTCTCAGGTGTGTCTTTTGTAGGCAGCATATAGACGGATCATGTTTTTTAATGCAGTCTACTCTCTATCTCTTTATTGGTGCATTTAGTCCGTTTACATTCAGCGTAATTATTGATAGGTATGAGTTTAGTGCTGTCATTTTGATGTCTTTTTTTGTGTGTTGTTCACAGTTTCTTGTTCCACTTAATTTTCTGTGCTTAGTCGTTTTTTCTTACGTATTTTCTTTTAATCTTTTTCATTGTTGTTGATTTTGTGTTTGCTGAGACTTTATATTTTTCTGGTTTTTTATTTTGACTTGTAGGATTGTTAGTTTCCTTTGTGAGTACCTTAATATTTACCTCTATTTTTCTAAGTTCATACCAGTCTTTTATTTCTTTGTCTCGCCTTGCCTTTCTCTCGATATGAAAAATCTATGTCTACATTTTTTAAGTCCCTCTTTTTTGTTTTAATGTTGTCATCTTTTACATATTGACATTTGTTTCCCTATTTTCAGTGTTTTAGCTTTGATTTACTTTTGTGACTTCCCTATCTGGGTTGATACCTGGTTGCTCAGTCCTATGTTCTAGTCTTGGATTGTTATCTGATGTTACTGATTTTGTGATTGGAGGACTCCTTTTAGTATTTCTTGTAGTTTTGGTTTGGTTTTTGCAAATTCCCTAAACTTCTGTTTATCTGGAAATGCCTAATTTCACCATCATATTTGAGAGACAGTTTTGCTGGATATATAATTCTTGGCTGGCAGTTTTTTTCCTTCAAGGCTTTATATATGTCATCCCATTGCCTTCTTTGTTACATGGTTTCTGCTGAGTAGTCCGAGCTTATTCTTATTGACTCACCTTTGAAGATGACTTTTCATTTATTCCTAGCTGCTCTTAAAATTCTCTCTTTATCTTTGGTTTTCTTAGTTTGATTATAATAAGTCTTGATGACTTTCTTTTGGTTTCCACCTTAAGTGGGGTTCGATGACCATCTTGGATAGATATCTTCTCATCTTTCATGATATCAGGAAAGTTTTCTGCCAACAAATCTTCAACATTTCTCTCTGTATTTTCTGTTATCTCCCACCCCTGTTCTGGTACTCCAGTCACTCGTAGGTTATTCCTTTTGATAGAGTCCCACATAATTCTTAGGGTTTCTTCATTTTTTTTAAATCCTTTTATCTGATTTTTCCTCAAATAAGTTGGTGTCAAATGCTTTATCTTCAGTCTCACTAATTTTGACTTCTGTTGCCTCAGTTCTGCTCCTATGACTTTCTATTGAGTTGTCTAATTTTGAAATATTATTGTTAATCTTTTGGATTTCTGATTGCTGTCTCTCTGTGGATTCTTGCAGCCTATTAAATTTGTCATTATGCTTTTCTCTAGTCTTTTTAATTTTCTCTACTGCATGCTCTGCGTTTTGCTTAATTCCCTTCCTAATTTCTTGAAGAGTTCTGTATATTAATCTTTTGTATTCTGCCTCCAGTAATTCCAAGAAATTTTCATCCTCTGGAAAATTTCTAGATTCTTTATTTTGGGAGCTTGCTGAAACCATCATGGATTACCTCTTTATGTGATTTGGTATTGACTGTTGTCTCTGAGCCATCAGTAAGTTATTATATTTATTTATTTTATGTTTGCTTATTGTGTCCTAGCTTCTTGTTTTGTTTTGATACGCCCAGATGGGCTGCTTGTATGAGCTAGTTTGATTATTGGCACCTTTGAAGCTCTAATGTCCTGTCACCAGGTGGTTAGATCTGTTACTAGGTATGTGAGCTCAGGAGTCCACCCACTCCTCTCGTATTGATTCAGCTCGGGTGCCCAGATAGATAGCCACCAAGTGTGTGGTATAGGCTCTCACTTACAGTCCTAGACAGGCATGAGTGATTGGTGTAGGCACAGGCATCTGGCTGCAGAAGGGTGACACACTCTGAACAAGGCAGGGGGCCACCCCCGAGTGTCCCGGAAGAATACGTGTCCCTGTTCCCTAGAGCATGTAGGTGGGTGGATTTTGCAGCCGAACTGTGAGCACCTAATGCTGTTGGCTGTCAGGGCTGGGGGGCACCTCTTATTCATGGGCCCCTCTCACAGGTGGCTAGGTGGCGTGGGTGGAGCCACCAGTCCTCAGGCCCCTGATGTGGGTAGGTGAAGACACTGCTTAATGGGCAGAACAGTGTGAAATGTCATGGACCTGCCACTGAAACAGTTGAAGTTATAGTTCTGGTATATACCCTGATGTACTACGGTAATGAGGGCCTACGCTGTTGAAATGGGCCCACACAAGTCTATGCAGGGGGAAAGGCCGTCAAAGTCCGTGGATCCCTTATGCCTGTGCCTGGGCAAAGGAGCTGTGCCTACCCTGGGTTCCTGGCTTGGGGGAGCCAGCACTTTATTTTTTCCTCTGTTTGTTAATTTGTTCACTCTCAAGGCAGGGAGAATGGCTCCGGGCGTGTGACGAGTTCTACTTCCGGCCCAGGGGACTCGGCAATTGATGAAGCCGGTCCAGGACCCAGTGCAGAGCAGGGAGCGGGGAGGTAAATGGGAGAGAGGTTTTTCCTTAAGGGAGGTGTTTTTGATCTGCGTGGTAAGCGGTATGCAAGTACTTATCTTTCGCCGGATTGACGGCTGCTTCTCACTGGTTCTGGGTGGCCGTGGAGACTCTGTGGCACTGGATCTCCCATGGTGCAGAAAACGCGCCTCCTGAGCATGGCTGCTTGCCTGCCTCACCACTCACCCCCGAGCTCCTAAGGCCTGAAGGCCTCAGGCTCTCGCTGGGTCAGGTCTGGCAACTTCTCGCTGCTTTCGAACTGTCTCTCCCTCCCCCTGCCACTCAGTCTGCTTCCTCAACTCTGCCTTTGATGTTCAGGGCTCCCAGATTGCCATATATAATCAAATCACTTGTGTTTTTGGGTCTTTGTTGTAAGAGGGTCCTCTGGAAGCGTCCGACTGCTCCGTCATCTTGGCCCCGCCTCAAGAATGTTATTTTTCTCTTATTGCACACCTCCAAATTAGCTAAATAATGTTTGTTGAAAAATGAGTGTTTTAGCCCTGATAGCTATTGCTTACAATTTTAGTAGTGATAGAAAGTTGAGATTTTATTGTTGTGCTGCTTTAATTCTCTGAAGGTGGTTTTTTTTTTTTTATTTGTTGGACAAAGGTGAAGTAAAACATTCTTGTTTTCACTCTTTCGTTTTATTAGGAATGAGCAGCGTTCCAGTTTTTCAAAGTTGAAGAATACTCATACTGATGGATTGAAAAAATCTGTGTATTTTACAAAATCAAACTTCAGAAGATTTATTCAGAAACCTAACAGGGTAAGATTGTAGTTTCAAATTTTTCATTTTTGTGTATTCCATTCTCCTCACATATATCTGTACAGGGGTCCCTGGTGTTTTTCCTAATGTTTGTAACTGTTCATTAAGTACGTGTTACAAGAATCTTTTGAGGCTTAAAGTTATTATGATAGAAGAAATGGGACTCTCATATTTGATATAGCAGGATTTTATTGGATGTATTATAATTTTAGCTTCCATTGCTGAAGATTTTTTTAATAACTTTATTAAGGTAAAATTTACATACCATAAAATTCACCCATTTTAGGTATACAATGTAATGATTTTTAGTAGATTTACCAAGATGGACAACCATCACCATAATTCTGTTCTGGAACATTTTAAGAACATTTTCATCATCCCATTATGAAAACCCTCTGAGTCACAGTGGTCCAATTTGTAACCAATCATGGAATGGCACAGGACCAGGCAACATTTCATTCCATTGTACATGGGGTGATCCATACGGTTTTCATTGACTGATTTTCAGATGTAGATCACCAGGCCTTTCTTCCTAGTCCATCTTAGTCTGGAAGCTCCTCTAAAATCTGCTTAGCATCACAGCGACAATCAAGCCTCTACTGACAGACAGGCAGTGACTGTACATGAGGTGCATTGGCTGGGAATCAAACCCTAGTGTCTTGCGTGGAAGGCGAGAATTCTGCCACTGAACCACTGCTGCCTCCACTTCTCCATCTTCATGCTTTACCTGAGCTTTTATTTTCACCTAGCTCTTAAAAGCCCCACAAGTCTTATAGTAAATATGCCCAGACAGCAGTGTTAGAGCTGTACTTTCTCTCAGTGGAGGCCAAGCAGTTCAGCCCAACCCTGGTTCACTGCTGCTTGACGTTAAGAGTCATTGTGGTTTAAGACTTGACGGGGAGCTTACCTCCTTCTGCTGGTCCTTCTCCACCATCAGAAGAATATATGTGTCATGCTCAGTGCCACTACCACCGCCGCTTCTTGAGCCAGAAATTCAGGCATCGGCCTTGTCAACTGTCTTTCATAGTCCACCCATGCCACCCTCAAGTTTATGGGTCTCTGGCTTCAACTTTCCCTCTGCCTCAACTGACAGATGGTGGTGGCTTCGCATGAGGTGCGTTGGCCAGGAAAAGAACATGAGTCTACTACGTGGAAGGAGAGACTCCTACCACTGGACCACGACTGCTGCTATCATGAGACATTAGGTTTTCAAAAACAGCTATGGCCATAGAATGTATAAACGTGTCTTACACCATCTTTTAATCTCTTGAGTAATGAGGCATGAAATCAACTGAAAATTTGATGTCTGCATAACTTAGATATGGTGTAGGTGGAGTTTCAGGTCTAAGTGGTTCCTACATGTTGCTGTTCTCATTGAACGGATATAGTGGATTGTTGTACTTTTCTAAGATTGTCATAAGATTTATTTCCTGTTACACTTCCCCCTTAAAGAAAGGTTCTTTAACAGTAATTCTTAGAAATTTTTTTTTCAGAATATATTCAATAATCTTCCCTTTTGACTAACCATTTAAAATTGTATGTCATATTATTGTTTAAAATGTCACAATTCTTTAGTAAAATAGCAGGAAGAAATAACCCTTCCTAAGAAAAGGAAGTATTTCATAAAATTTACTCTTTACTTGATTTCATTCAGAGTCTATAATAATCACCTCATTAGAGATGTAAAAATGGAAAATATAAATCTCAAGACTTGCTCAGATGTATCAAGTTTGTGAAGATAGCCTGACACAAGCATAGTGTTTCATAAGAACTCTGTTTTACCTGAAATTTTTGTAGCCTTAAGAAAGTAATTGGAAGATAGGTCTGCCATAAATACTTTTTTATAAACAGATATGCTTTATTATGCATGACATATCCATTTTTAAAATAATTGTGGAAAGAGGAATCAACTTAAGTTTTTATAATTACTCCAGTCTAATATATCATTTTTATATTTATTTCTATAACATTGCCCATGGTCTGTTTCCTGTTACAAGTACTCTGAGGATGAAACGTAAATAAACCGAAAGCTAAATTTCAAAAAGATTAAAATCCACTCCTATGGCCAAATCTTTGAAAATTATTACAGGACCTAAATGTTTTCTGTTTAGATGTTTAAACATTAATCAGGCAATAATTTTAGTATTTAGTATTAGTATTATGGTGTTCACTGAATTAGTCGCTTAGTATTTTTAATGCTCTGAGTCATGCAGTCAATTTCCACCCCCCCACAACCTTGCACTTGTTTCCTTTTTAAAAAGAAGCAGCAGCTTCAGCAGTAGCAACTCACCTGACTAAGCCCCAATCTTTTCTTTCTCTGGCATTGCCTTAGTTGCTGGATTAATCTAAGTTTTATTAATAGAGGGGCAACAAGTACTGTTTGAAGAGGCTTTTTACTTAATGGAGTGATTGTAGTGTTTGTGAACAGTTTTATTGACTTCCCTAGAGGCTAATAGTATGTCAATGTTATGATAGAGTTCATTTAGGGATTATTATTGTTTAGCTCTTCATGTTGAGGGAACCTTGTCTCTCTGACATCTGTATAGGTGTATACCGATCTTCCAACCCTTAACTTTCTATAAACTAAATGTTTTTTTTTTTTTTTTAAATTTTGGCTTCTGTTTTTAAGCCTTGTTGTTGTTGTGTGCTGTCAAGCCGATTTCAACTCATAGTGTGATTCTATACGACAGAGTAGAACTGCCCCGTAGAGTTTCCTAGGTTGAAATCTTTATGGGAGCAGATCAGAGGGTTTTTCTTCTGAGAAGCAGCTGGTGGATTTGAACCACTGACCTTTTGGGTAGCAGACAAGCACTTAACCATTGCACCACCAGGGCTCTATGTTTTAAGCCTTAATAGCTCAAAAATAGGCATTTAAAAGGAGCTACTACTAGCTTCATCCCATTTGATTCGACCTTCGTCATCTAGTACAGACGGTCCCCAGATTACGAATGAGTTCTGTTCTAAGTCTGTCTTTAAGTTGGATTTGTACATAAGTCTGAACAGTTAGGTACAGTTAGTATATAACGTCAGTTAGTCATATGTTTGTCTTAGTATATGGTATATAGTGTACCTTTCCATGCATAAAAAACATTAAAGAAACACTTCCAGATACACTAAAGCATCTTTAACATAATAATACAGTAACAATAATGTTTTGATTCACGTTGCAAAGCAGTGCCCATTTGTTACTATAAACCATTGTATGTACCTCCAGTTTTTAATATAATAGGCTTTATGTGGGTTGATTCCTTATGGGTTGTACGTAAGTAGGATGTTTGTAACCTGGGGACTGCTTGTAATTGGATTGTGACCCGGGACTGATTTTTATTTGGCATAATAAAAGAATTTGATTAAAAAACAAAACCCTCTCCATGCTTCGTGACCAAATATTTGCATATAACTAACTAGGTTGTATTTTACTTTTTACTGTGAACATTTGCTTGAAGGAATTGAGAAGATGGAAAATTAATAATAAAGTTTACCAATCTTCTGAGTAAAATTCTGATTTATAAAAAGAACACATTTGGGAATAAATTTAATATGCAATGGCGGCTGTTTTGAAGATACAGAATTTGCAACTATTATTCTGACCCTTGTCCTTGCCCAGTAAATGAGCACTGGTCAAGTCCTTAACCTGAGTGCTAAGGAGAGATTGAAGAATAAGACTTCCTGCTTGTGCAATTAAAGCTAAATACTGTTTTATGCTCTTCAAGCTTGGACAGCCCTTTTCTTGGATCTCAGTAGAGACCCTTGATGGAGACTCCTGTTGGCAAAATCTGCCAACAGGAGAGACCAGCTGCCTATCAGGTGCTCAGACTGGCGTTTCCACTAAACTGTCAGCTCCTGAAGGAAAGGGGTGGGACAGTTTAGTCTTTGTACCTTGTACATAGTATTAGATAGAAATTTTTGTTAAATAAGTTTGGAACAGTTTGCTTGAGAGAGCATGCTGTGTCACCAAAGTCCTTCTCTACTATACCTTCTGCTGGCTTCTTGGGATTGTACGTCCCAGTATTTCAGTTTATACTGAACTTATCTTTGTTAAAAGTTTGATTTTGCCTAGGGTTTTTCTTCATATGGTTTCGCATCTGTTTTCTATAGGGAGAATTTAATTGAATGATTTTTGGGAGAGATCTTTTCGTAGTGAAGAGCTTAATGTAGCCTCTTTCAGTGAGTTAGCAGTAGCCAAGGTTTTAAGACTCAGCCTGTGAACCTTGGCCACTTTTTCCTTCCTTTTCCCACCCCCAGTAGTGAATTAACAAGGAACCATTCCTCTTATCAACCACATGGGAAACACACAATTATTCACTGTCCTCGAATAGCTATTGTAATATTGGACACTATGCCGGCCAGGAAATGGCCTTTTTAAGTAAACTTATCATGAAAATGGTTACTTTAATGGAATTTTGTGGTAAAGAAAGATTGGTTTGAAAGTACAAACAGGAGTAAAAATAAGGGCGTTTTTGAATCTTAAATAGATATTGATAACTTTTGTCAACATTTTGACAACAAATAATGTCATTTTTTTTCTTTTTGGAATTTGATTTATTTCATTATGAATCAGAGAAATAATGTTAGCTCATTAGAGCTTGTTTGAAAGTTGTAATTTTTCTGGCATGATAAATTTCAAGAATTAAAAAAATTTTAACTTATCAGTTTTTCAAATTGTTTTTATATATAATAATTAAAAAAATTTATTAGTATATAAAATAAGCTAGGAAGCCAGTTTCAAGGAAACTTATTACCATCATAACCGCTTCTCTTTTAATATCTAAGGTGCCTAGAATCAAGGGCAACTCTAAGTATCAGACCCTTTTCCATCTGTTATACCAATAAAGTAGACTTGGAAGCTGTAGTTTTAACATTTAATTATTTTTTCCTTTACAGACCAACTTTAGAGGTGGCAGATTCCAACCACATTATAAATCAGGCCTAGTACAGAAGAGCTTGTACATTCAGGCTAAATATCAGCGTTTACGATTTGCTGGTCCAAGGGGATTTATCACTAATAAATTCAGAGAAAAATTACTGAGGAAAAAAAAGGTTGGTTGGATTACGATAATTTAAAAATGTTGAGTGACCTTTGAACTCCTAAATTATAAATGTTAATTAGATAAATCAGATATTTCATTTGATTTTGACTTAAGAAACAACCTACATAAAAAAAATTTTTTATACTTATGAAAATAAAATAAAAACTTCAAGGGGTAATGGTAGTAGAGTTGTGAAACTGTTTAACCTTAAAATGCTTTTAGCTATTATACATCAAATATTATGAGTGTGCCAGCCGTTGGAACTTTTTACTTTAGAATTTCTATTGTATGGTTAATCTTTGAAATGGGAATTCCTGTAAAGACTTTTAACTGATATATTTTAGCCTTATACAGTGTGAATTATCTAAGTACCAAAAAATAGTGAACTGACAATGTAAAAAGGATACATAATTACAAAATACACTAACTTAATGTTAATAAAAATGAGGTTTTTTACGTGATCATTTTAATTGTATACTATTTAGTTGTGGACTTATTTTAATTAGCTATGTTAATATTGGAAAATGCAGCATAAATATAATTAACTTCTATATAATTATATTTTAAAGGACAACCATAGCATTCTGTCAGTTAAGTGAGGCATGTTTGTCAGTTTTTAACTCATTTCTGTTAATAGTTTCAGGCTAATTATTTTATTCTGAGAAATGTACATATCTGTAATGTTGCTATCAAATAGCAATAGTTTTATAAATTTTATACTTATAAATGTTTCTCTAAATATTTACTCTTATGACATTTTTACACCAAGCTTGCTTAGTGATGTTAGTAAAACTTAACATTTTTTGAAAAATAGACCGGTAGAATGAAGTTAACAACTGATCGTAAGTTTTAGAGTTAAATAGAACATTTCATGTAACCCTGCCAGTTTTAATTGAGTGCCTTAGAAGAGGTTTCCAATTTCACTATGTATGTCACTTCTGGTTTTACGAAAGCAATCCCTTTTTTAAAAACATGAGTGTAATTGGGGTCTTTTTCCCCTCTTATACACCTCCCTGCTGTCAGGCTGTGCCAGGGTGCTACTTCTCTTCCCTGCCTTGTGTGGTAAGTTGCTTTACAGTAGATCTTCTAGGCATTTGTTCCCAATCACAGGTGTCTCTGGGAAGCTAGTCATTGATTTCTGCTCTAGGAGGAAGACTAACACAGGCCTTTTCCTCATTTGCAAGGTCGGGTCTCTGGTAGATGGTATTGCTTCTGTTCTGTTAGCTCTGAGCTGAACTTTGAGTTTTTAGCTTCATTTCACTACATTTTTACCTTTATCTTTTAGATGATTTGGGGCTGCTGAGGGCTTACCTGTCTGCGTAAGCCTGCAGTTTCTGTATACTCACAGAATTGCTCCAGTACATCATTTTCTCCTTTGCCTCAGCTTGCCAAGTTCCTGCTTTCTGGTCCATTCCTTCAAACCACATTGCCCACTAACGTCACTGAACACTAAATAGAAATCAGACATCAGGTCTTTATCATAGGACGTAAGAAGTGTGTCCTGGAAGGATCCGTAACGTGCTATGGGTCTCATATCTTTAGGGCCTAGGCTTTTTGTATCATCTAAAATATAGCAAGAAGTCCCTGGGTGGCGCAAACAGTTAAGTTCACGATTATTAGCCGAAAGGTTGGTGGTTCAAACCCACCCGGAGACACCTTGGAAGACAGGCCTGGCGATCTGCTTCTGAAAGGTAGCAACTTTGAAAACCCTGCAGCAGTTCTGCTCTGCACACATGGGGTTGCCATGCATCAGAATCGACTCAACGGCAACTAACAACAACAAAATATGATAGTTAGACTCCAGTGCAGGTCACAGGCTCACCCTCCTGCTGCCTTTCACTGCCATCTGAATGCTTCAGAGGTAGTTCCAGCACACTGGATTTAAAAAAAAATCAGTGCCTACTATTCTTCCAGTGTCTACTACTACTTTTTTCCTTAGGCCTACTCTTCTGTATGCTACTTCATGTGTCTTTGTATTGTAGCCACTTTGACATGGGCTTTTCCAATCTGGCCACTGTTAGTGCCTGCAAGCAAGCCTTAGCCAGGCTTTTTATAGATTTGTGTTTGACTAAGGCCCAACTCTGTGAGTTCAGCATCAAACCCAGTACCCTACTATTAGCACCCTACTTAATAATTGGCCTCCATACTCTCCTAACCTTTAGGGAAAGGAATGAGTCATTGCAGCTGCTCTGTTTCTGTCAAGGTCTAATCCAAGCTACCTGAGATGAACTTGGCCTATAGGCTGTCCCAGTAGTACTATGCCACTTCAGAACCCCATTCCATATGTATAAACTGATGACTTGGACCTATTACTCCATTTCACCTTTGCCTTAATGCCCTAAAGAAAAGTGGCAAAGGCCTCGAGTCTTTGGTTTCTTCCAGTGTTGCTTCCCTGTTCCCTCAAATTGGAGACACTGTTGATCAAATGGGTTACTGGATGTTAGGTACCATTTACATCACTTTTCTTCCTAAGCTTTGGCATCAGAGGGAACTCTGAAGGTCCTGTCCTACAGAAAAACCTTAATCTGGGTAGCATCTGTACACTGCTTTGGCTTTTGCCCTGTTAGAGAGTTCATTCTTATGGCGGTTATAATGAATCTACACGCCCTCGAACTTCTCAAGCCTCAGATTAGATATTGTCTTAGTTATCTAATGCTGCTATAACAGAAGTACCACAAGTAGGTGGCTTTAACAAACAGAAATTTTTTTTATCACAGTTTAGGAGGCTAAAAGTCCAAATTCAGGGTGCCGGCTCTAGAGGAAGGCTTTTTCTCTCTGTCAGCTCTGGAGGAAGGTCTTTGTCTCTTCAGCTTCTGCTTCCTGGTTCCTTTGAGATCTCAGTGTGTTTGGGAACCTGTCTTATCCCATCTCTACTCTCCTGGCTTACATGTTTAATCTCTTTTATATCTCAAAAGAGATTGACTCAAGATACACCCTACACTAATCCTGCCTCATTAACATAATAAAGACAACCATTCCCAAATGGGATTATAACCACAGGCATAGGGGTTAGGATTTACAACACATTTTGAGGGGACATAGTTCAATCCATAACAGATATGAACCTACATATTCCCACATGCCCCAAAGTCCACCAAGAAGGTTTAGACTGATCTTGTCTGGACTTCTCACTCCCTCACCATATTGAAATACCTGGGCTGATCAGTTGTGGCTTGCATCTGTGCCATCAGACTATGTGCTTCGCATCTTCACTACAAAACAGCTTCTGGGGGCTTCTAGATGTGCTTCTAATACATCTTTTCCACTTACCAGAACAGTAGTGGCTTCCTTAAAACTGCCTTGGCTTCCCAGCTGCCTACAAATTAGTAAGATTCCCAAGCAGTATTAGAGAAGTACAGAACTGAAATTCTTCTTTCTCATTTATCACACACTATCATAGTAACCCCATTCTGGCACCCAGATTCCCTTTTATTATGGTTCCTTTCTCTTGGATTCTGTGCTTGGGCTGGAAGATGAGGGAAGTAGAGTGGAATGTCCATTACCACCTGGAATAAGGCTCATCTTTTATCCACTGTCAATTTCAAGTGCCCCTATTAAATATCCTTTGCTCACCACAGAAAGTTTTCAGAAACTCTTGAGGGTCTGACTATGTATCAAAATAGGACAAAGAGCCCAGTAAGAATTCATGAAACAACCTCTGGGAAAATTGCCTCTGAAAATGTCAGCAGTTTTGCATTTGGTCAGGAAGACATGGAGTTTTTTTGCACCATAGATTCTCCACCAGTCCTCAGGTGCCTGTAAGCTAGGTGCCTACCAGAACTCGGCCAGTGGATAAGGGGGAGAAAGAATAGGGCACAAAGACAACATAGGAATGAAGTTAAAGACCAAGATTCATGACTTTGGGGTTGAAAGAAACTCTGTAAGTCATGGAGTACAAAGATAGAACAGGAACCAAGGTCAGATGAATCAGCAAGACTCTGTTATACACCTGCTGTGCCCCCAGAGCTGACATATGCCAGGGTGCAAGAGAAGTGGAAGCTAGCAACTTGTCCTATGAGTCTTCCCCAGTTCTCCTTCCAACTGTAACTGTTCCATGTCTTTGTATTTCTTTCACTCATTCATTCTTTTTAATGGCTGCACATTAGCCTATGGATGTATTATTTATTTTATTGCTCCTCAGACTTTCTTGCTCATGTTCCCTAGAAGAATTTTGAAAATTATCTACCTTAGTGCACATTTTTAGGATGATATCTGTCTTAGTCATCTGGTGCTGCTATAACAGAAATACCACAAGTGGATGGCTTTTAACAAAGACAAGTTTATTCTCTCACAGCTCAGTAGGCTACAAGTCCAAATTCAGAGCATCAGCTCCAGGAGAAGGCCCCCTCTCTCTGTCGGCTCTGGAGGAAGGTCCTGATGCATCAGTCTTCCCTTGGTCTGGGAGCATCTCAGCGCAGGAACCTCAGGTCCAAAGGACGCACTCTGCTCCCAGCACTGCTTTCTTGGTGGTGTGAGGTTCCCATGTGTCTCTGCTCGCTTCTCTCTTTTATATCTCAAAAGAGATTGGCTTAAGACACTATCGAATCTTATATACCTCTTCAGTGTAACTGCCGCTAATCCATCTTATTAGATCATAGTGATTGAATTTACAACATGTAAGGAAATCACATCAGATTACAAAATGGTACACAATTATACAATGCTGGGAATCATGACCCAGCTAAGTTGACAGATATTTTTAGGGGACACAATTCAATTCTTGACAATATCCAGTATTTTTTTTTATCACAAGTTTAAATTGTAAAGGTTATAATTTCTGGCATATTATAAATACTGACAGTCTTAAATAAAACTTACATCATTCTTTTAAATCTCTTTAGCAGAGGAGTTTTTGTTTGGGAGGACGTTGAGTTTATATTAATAGTGGTGGAATATTTTGGGAAAAAATAGCAATAATGGTGGCTTTAGGTATTAAATATTTCCTCTGGGTTAAAGGAGCCCTAGTGGCACGGTGGTTAAAGCACTTACTGCTAACCAAACGGTCAGTGGTTCCAACCCACCAGCTGTTCCAAGGGAGAAAGATGTGGCAGTCTGCTTTTGGAAAGATTTACAGCCTTGGAAACCCTATGGGCAGTTCTACTCTGTCCTATAGGGTCACTATGAGTCGGAATCGGCTCAACAGCAGTGGGTTTGGTTTGGGTTGAGTTAACATTACAGTTGATCAAAATAGCAAAAAGATATTACAAGTTTTGTTAAATATTGATTAAGCAAAAGTTTTATTGGAAATACAGTCATTTCTTTAATTAGTTCATGTATTCGTAGATAAATATTGCTAGTAGAATGATAGTGTTCAAGTACCCATTCTAATTCTATTTTTTCTTTTTATAGGTATAAGTGCTGAGAAACCTTATTTATGTGGTTGTATAGATGGAATGAAAGGAGTTATAGCAATGCCACTCAGTTCTTTGAACTCGCTCTGAATTATAGACCAAAATATCACTTAGTGATCTATCATTAAAAAGTATTTTGCCTGTTCTATCACTGATAACTTGATTTTTGTCCTCCTTCAGTTTTATTAAAGGAAAGCAAAGAATTGGAAACGATCTGACTTGCAAAAAGTATGATATTGATTGCCAGTTGTTAGGGTTGGTTTGCTTGACACTATCACCAATGTTTCAAATTGACCCTTTTTGGAGGATCCCCAGATCAATGCATAGTAGTAAGATTCAGAATGAGAGGTATATCTTTCTTGTGTAAAGTAGGAGGTAAGGGATCCAGCCTTAACCACTAGGACAGGCAAGTTAATTTTGGAAAGTAAACAATGGGAATTTGAAAATCTGGAAATTAATTTCCTCAAATCTATCTGTACTCACTCCTTGGAAAGTGTTCATATACCCCTAAGGGTACATGTACCCCAGTTTAACGATTACCGACTTATTTAACCAAGCCTCTGTTGATGACTTCTGGATAGCTTACAGGTTTTCATTATTTTAAATAACACCATTGGGCACATTGACATTTTGATACCTTGCCATATTGCCCTCTCAACGTTTTTTACTCGTTTGTACTCTCACCCGCAGTACATGAAGGGGCCTGTTTACCTTCACCCTAGCCAGCATACATATCATAAGTCTTAATTATCAGTTGCCAATCTAATAGCAGAAAAAGTTCTTATTTGCTTTTCTTTGATTATTAATGATATTGAGCATCTTTTTTTTATTGTACTTTAGATGAAGGTTTACAGAACAAATAGTTTCTCATTAAACAGTACACATATTGCTTAATGTCAATGGTTGACAACCCCACGACGTGTCAACCCTGTCCCTTCTCAACCTTGGGTTCCCTATTACCAGCTTCCTGTCCCCTCCTGCCTTCTAGTCCTTGCCCCTGGACTGTTGTGCCCCATTAGTCTTGTTTTAGGGGCCTGTCTAATCTTTGGCTGAAGGGTGAACCACAGGAGTGATTTCATTACTGAGCTAAAAGGATGTCCAGGGGCCATACTCTCGGGGTTTCTGCAGTCTCTGTCAGGCCAGTAAGTCTAGTCTTTTTTTATGAGTGAGAATTTTGTTTCTACATTTTTCTCCAGCTCTGTCGGGGACCCTCTATTGTGATCCCTGTCAGAGCAGTCAGTGGTGGTAGCCAGGCACCGTCTAGTTGTACTGCACTCAGACTGGTGGAGGCCATGGTAGTTGTGGTCCATTAGTCCTTTGGACTAATCTTTCACTTGTATCTTTAGTTTTCTTCATTCTCCCTTGTTGAGCATCTTTTTAATGGGCCTATTGGCCATATTTAATTTCTTCCCTCAATTTCCGTATTTCTATCCTTTGCCATTGTTTCTGTGGAGGATGGTACTTTTCCTTATTGGTTTTTAAGAGCTCTTGATTCACTAAGGGTACTAACCTGTCATACATTTTGCTGATGTTTATTTTATGCCTGTCAGCTGTCTGCGGTGCCTTTTACATTATAGAACTTTAAATGTTCATGAATCTGTGACGTTTGTCCCATATGGCTTCTAGATTTTGTAACATGCTTATATTTATAAAAACTCTTTACTCTGTTTCCTTTAAGTGGTTTTATGGTTAAATTTTAAACGTTTAAATTTTTATGACATAACGTGAGGCCAAGATCTAATGTTTTTTCCAACAGATAGTTTTTCTAGCACCATTTATTAAATAATTTGTCCTTTCACCACTGATGATGTGCCACCTTTACTACATTCTTATACATTCCTGGTCTGTTTTTGGATTTTTTGGAGCCTTCTAAAGTGTTTCTTTGCCTCCTGTGATTTGCTTATTCAGTCTCTTCACTGCTGGCACGGTTATCGTCCTGAAACACAGACTGTCATAATCACTCTTCCGCAAAAACCTTCCAAGTGTCCTATTGCCTACAGGGAAGAAACCAAACTTGTTTTCTAGCTTTAGCCCTAAACTACCTTTCTAGCCACATTTCCCCATGGAACCTCTGCTTCTTGGAGCATAGCATATATTTTTATGTATTTGTACTTTGTTCCTGTAGTTTTCCTGGCTGGAAATAAACTCTCGATTCCCATTCTTTTCTTATTAAGTCATACTTTCCTTTTAGGACCCACTGTACAGCCTTACCAAAGCTCCCTCTTTAGCTCTTATTTAATTTGGTCTCTTAACTGTTGCTGTTTACCTTTGTATTTCCCCAGATAGAGTATCAGCTTCTTGAGGGTAGAGGCTGCCTCATTAGTCTTTGTATCTTCCACTATTGCCTTTCATATAGTCAGTGTTTAGAAAATGCCTTTTGAATGGAATTGAATTTAATCTCACACATTAACACACACATCCATAGCCTCTAAACTAGTGAACCAAACCCATTGTATCAGAGGTCTCCAAGACCACTCTCAGGTTCAGTGATTCACAAAGAGGACTCACGGAACTCAGCATATAGTGGTACTCATGGCTATGATTTATTACAGAAGAAAGATACACGACAAAATCAGCAAAGGGAAAAGGTGCATGGGATGAAGCCTGGGGAAGACCAGGCAGAAGCTTCCAAGGGTCCTCTCCCCATGGAGTCACATAGGATGCACTTAATTCCCTCAGCCACAAGTTGTGACAACACATGTGAAATGTTGGCAGTGGGTTAAATTGTTAAAAGACTCAGTGCCCAGGGTTTTTATTGGAGCTGATCACATAGCCACCCCCTGCCAGACATATGCCCAAATTCCAGACTGCCAGAAGAAAGCAAGTTCTCAGCATAAACGACATTGTTTATACAAACAGTTTAGGCACAGTGAGCCACCCTTATCAGTTAATGGTGGGAACTCTCCTGAAATCTAAGTTTCCAGATGACTGCTAAGGACCCACCTTGTAAGCAGGCCTTCCAAAGGATAGCAATCAGACCTGCTATGTTAACTCCTTTCTGCACAACTATATTTTTGAAGAGCTTAATTTCATAGATGGTAAATGCCCAAAGGGAGAAGGAAAAGATCAGTATGGTAGGAATGGTCAGGGGATGTAGAGTACTTTCATTCGTTTTCTCTTCACAGAGGAGGTAGGTCATTAGCTGAGTCATAGAGAGGAGCAACACATAGAAAGGTCTAAAACCAAAGACCCATATTTAGCAGAATGATATAGGGTTGGGTAGATAGGGCAGAAGGAGCCCTGGTAACACAGTAGTTAAGCTCTCAGCTGCTAACCGAAAGGTTGGCAGTTCGAACCCACCAGCCACTCCACGGGAGAAAGATGTGGCAGTCTGCTTCCATACAGATTACAGGCTTGGAAACCCAATGGGGCAGTTCTGTTCTGTTCTGTCCTATAGGGTCACTATGAGTTAGAATCAACTCGACAGCAATGCTTATGGGTAGATATGGCAGGAGGGGAGGAAATTATAGAGGGCCTTGAAAGCTGGGTAAAAATACTTAGGATTTGAAGTGGTAGCAGTAGGACATTTTCCTCAAATGAGAGAGAGTAGTACTTTAGGAACCTCACTTGGTTAGCGGTGGGTAGATGGACAGGCTCCAGAGGAGGAGAGAATGAGGTGCAGGAAGACCAGCAAAGGAACATTTGGCAGTAACCCAGGTTTCAAGTTATGAAAAATTTAGACTAGGGTGGTGCTCGTATATCTAGTTCAGCATTCAGCTTAAAATAGGCTTCCAAATAATTGGAAGGATAGGAGGATCAATTTGAGAAGTGGTGTGGAAAAGGCTGTTAAGGGTGAAAGTGATTCAGAATAATCACAAATTTCTATAAACAAGATATTTCAGTTGAAATTTTTTAAGAATTGTAGTTAGAATTCACTTTAATGTTAGTAGGTAAAATATATTTTATTTGAAAATAAATTTATGATTTTTTTACTGTATAATGAGTAAAGAAATAGGATATAATGAAGTTTACTTCTGTTTAAAGGAATGATGTTAACAAAAATATATGTGCATGTATTTTGTACATTTCTTTAACCAAAATAGAAATAAGGAGAGTAAGAATTTTTTGTCAACACTGGTTTTCTTTGGAATTAAATGTTTCCCTACTAATATAAAAGCCAAAAATAAATCAACTTTTAAATTTCTTTCAGTTTTAATTAATGTAAGAGCCTAGTAAAAGGTAAGGATATGTGTATTAATAAATTTTTATTTTTTAATGTCCCTGAAAAATATGACATTCTATTTGGTTTTTTTATTAGTTGCATGATCTTATATCCAGTTTGTGGTTGGTAATTTAATATTTTGGATAGTATGGCAGTATAGAATCCATGTTCATTACCCTTTAATCATATAGTCTTTTTGTTCTTGTGAATCCCTTTTCCTGTATTTATTGAAATCTTACCAGCCGCATTTTTTATGTTGTAAGTAACCATCCAAAAGCAAGAAGGCTTTTTCCCCTCTCTGATGGCTTTCTTTGCTGTTATCAGTTAAGCTGGCAGAGTCCATGTAGTTTTAGAATTAAAGATACCATATGATGAAGAAAATAAAATAATAGTTATTAAATTATAAAACATCTACTAGTTTGAGGGTGTGTGTGTGCTGAGTCAGGCTCCATGCTTGAGAGACTAAGAGTTTCTTGATTTTATGCCAGGGATGCTTCCAGTGAAACCCACCTAGATACCAGAATGCTGTTTTCATCAACTTACTAATACCAGCGTATCTAGTACTGTATGTTTTCTTTGTCCTACTGACTTGTTGTTTGATATCTGCTTTGATGTGTTCTGTCGTTACGTTGCGTCTTTGAAAGTTTCACATACCATTGTGGGGATCTTGGGTGTAAGTAGTACTATATAAATTATTTTGAAAATTACAGTGTAAACAAAGCTCTCGCTCCGAAGTTATAACTGACTCTTCTTTTGAAGTCTGTATTTCTTCTGTTTTCTCTCAATAGGGGTATAAAAACATTGCCACAGAAATCTAATCTGGAATTGTTACAAAGGAGGCGACACTACAGGAGGATATTTGGGAGCATCTCTTTGTCAGGAATTAGAATTGGCACTAAGGCACTAATACTGTAACTTTCTTGATTAAAACAGTGGAATGCTGCAACTTTTTTACATTTAAATGTTGCTTTTAAATTACAGTATTGAATTTAAAAGTTGTATTAAATAGTTGTTTTTGCAAACGATCTCAACCACTTGAAGGGCATTATTTGTTGATGCATTTTTCTCTGAGCATGGTTTCCTAGAGAGAACTTAATGCGTTATATCCAAACGTTTATATGTTGAAAGTTTTGCTTATGTAATAAAAACAAAAACAAAAGTGTCGGAATTGTATAATGTATGTACGTGAAAGAACTTTAAACAGTGGCCTTACAGTAGCAGATTTTATACCAAGTTTTTCTTTTTCTGATGACATTTTGGCTTATAACTTAAAGTTTTGTTAAGTTTGTTAAGATTAAGGCCTATATAATTCATACATTTCATATTAACATGTAAGAAGGCTAGAGAAAAGGTGCTTCAAATTTTCCATCAGGTAGTTGTGAGTGCACTGAATTTTTAGTAATAAGTTCGTTCAGTTTTTTCCACAACTATTTGCTGTTTTCAAATTTCAAAATGCTACTGTGGAAAATATATAAAGATTTTGTAATCTATATTCCATCTTATTTTTCCCTCAGGGTAAGCTTGTGCATATCATATTTTTAAAGGCTTTTTTAAAATCTGATAGACAAAATCTCATATTTGAAAATTGTACTTTACTACTACAGCATTACACATTTTGCAAGCACATCTTATAAAGTGTTTATTTTCAGTTCAGTTGATATGTATTGAGTACCTACTATGTGTAAGACAAAATTGAGGGGGTTTTAAAGGAGATTTTAGGTCCCAATATCTTATTTCTTTATGTTTCCAGTGTTCTGCTTAGCAGTACATATACATTCCCAGTTAAATTTTTGTGAAATGTTTATTTCTAATAAAATAAAATATTGTTGCTGTTTTTGCTTGAGAAGTACTTGCCAGTTTGTGAGAACATTATTTTAATTTTATATGAGACTTACAGCCTTGGGTGTACAACCTGTTGATGTTTAAAGTACTGTTATGCACTTAGAAAGGCAGCTTTCTAAGTCGAAATAAGAAGATAGGTAAGAACTTGGTTTTGCATGACTGGATTATGAAAACTCTTACTACAGACATTTAATTTTTACATATCTTTAAAAGATGGGGCAGCTGTTTCCTTAAGTGGGTCAGTGATAGTGTGGGGGGAAGGCCTGAGAGTTACTTGATTCATTGCTAATCGAGTAATGGATTTAGGTATTTTGGCTTCTTATGCAGCGTACCATTTCTATAGGTCAGGTTTTCCATTTAACGTTCCACTTGTAGTAAAACGGAAATGCATGCACATAGTAGTTTGACAATTTCATATTGTGTTAGGTACTTATGAAATCTCTCCGAATAATTTATTTCATCCCCATATTCTGGGGGACAGTTACTAGCCTTGACTGTTTAATCATATGGTTAACAAGTATTTATTGCACACATATTGTGCTAAGATTATGGCAGTGAACAAGAGAACAAGACACGTGGACTTTGCCTTTATGGTATAGGCAGTCTAATAGGGAAAACAGACAATAAACAGAAATATAACTCAGTAAACAGCAGTGATTCTATTGCTCTGTTTTTATTTATTGTAGTACTTAAGGGTAAGATGGTTGATTCAATATTAATTATTCCACAACTGGTTTTCTAGTTAGGCATATTTGGATGGACTTTTGGCATTATCTCAAAATGCATAGCATGTTATTTGCAAAGTACCTATTGGTAGCATGGGTATATTCAGAAAACATTGACTGTATAAGATCTAAAGCCTAAAAGGAAAGACCTGCTTTGTAATTTGGAATGTAAAATAATGACAGGGACCATGTCTATCTTGTTCACCATAACATCCCCAGCATCCACTGTCATACTTGAACTCAGTAAATATTAGTTGGATGAATGGGCAATGAGTAGAATATGTTTATTAGGAACAAATACCTAATTTTCACGTGGAGGTTGAACAAAATGTTAACTATAACATTTTTTATTGACTGGAAAAGAAATTGAATTCTCTAATGCATAAGACTTTGTTATTGATGTTAGTTGCTGTCCACTTGGCTCCGACTCATGGCAACCTTAAGTGAAACAAAACGTTTCTCGGTCCTGCACCATCTTCATAATCGTTGGTATTTGTGAGTCCGTTGCATAAGACTTTAGAAGTGTTTGTTTTGGGGGTTTTTTCTTTTTCCTTTCGGTCAGTCTCATACACCTTTGCCTCCCCTTCTGCCTCCCCTGTGTGCTAGTCCCTGCGTTGATACTGGGAAAATAAGACACAGTCCCTGCTGCGAGGGATCTCAAACTATTGGGGAAGAGATGCACAAAACAAATAACTGCAATATAGAGTGCTAAGTACTAAAACGGAAATATGCACAAAAGGTTGAGAGAAAAATCGGCATTATTGGTTGAGCATCCCATGGGTGCGTTTCTTTCCTGTTGGTTTCACAAATCTCAGAAGGCACTATTCTGTTGGTGGTTTTGCAGTTTTGAAAATTGATGGGTTGGGGGAAACTGGGTAAAGTGTACACGGGATCTCTCTGTATTCTTAAAACTGCATGTCAATCTACAGTTAATCTCAATAAAAATTTCAATTAAAAATCTTATCACAGAGAAAACTACTGTAAGTATTTTGGAGGATACAATTTTTTTTCTGTTGGAAAAAACTATTATGTTTACATTTCATTTGTAACCAACTTTTTTCAGTTGTCCACTTAAATGATGCTTCTGTAACAATTCATGTGAGTGCATAATGTGTGCCACATTTTATCCAATAAATCCCACATTTCTGAATAGTTTTAAAGATGGGGATACTTCCAGGAAGAAGCCGGAAAAATAATGCTGGATGAGAAACTATTCTCTATTACCTAGCAAACTTGACAACCACCAGCCACAAATTCAGCAGCAACCAAACAAAGAGGGGAAAAGATTCTAATGCAACAAGGTGTGGCGTGACTTCAAACCCTCCCTCATCCCCCATAAGCAGCCTGAGTAAAGGAACTGAGTTGACAAAATCTTGGTAATTGTCACTAATGGGCCCCACTATGGACAAAGGGACTGGGGGTGACTAGGTCATGTGGAAAAGTGCCAAGGGAAACCCTTGGGAAGACAAGTCTGCTACTGTCTTGGACCTAGGCAAAAGGGGAGATAACCAGGATTGCATTTCTAACGCCCAGAACTTCCCTGGAATGCCAAAGCTCAGTGGGACACATCTTCGTCTGGTCAGTGAGCCCTGGTTCTGGACATCTAATGGGAACTCAGAGCAGATACCAGATTTACCAACAAGGTTTCAGTAAAAGGAATGGTTATGAGCTCTGGGTCCATTAAAATATAGAACTAATATTTTAAAAACGGGGGAATCATACTTGTTGGATAGAATGTAAATGTTACAAATCTTGATAAAGAAAAATTAATGTACACGGGTAGACTGGGATATGGCAAGGGAAACAGGACAAAGTAAGGAACTAGCCGCCTCATCTTTAATGACTAGGTGTCCTGTCAGTTCATAATATCTAAGATTGTATTATATAATATAGGAGGAAAAAGCCTAATGATCAACCTCAAGTTTTTCACAAAGTGTGGTTTTTGACCAGCAACATCAGCATCACATGGAAACTTGTTAGAAATGCAAATTCTTGGGCCACCCTAGCCCTACTGAACCAGAAACTTGGGGGTGGCTCCCAGCAGTCTGTTTTAACAAGTCTTCCAGGTGATTTTGATGCACACTCAAGTTGGAGTATCACCCACGGACTTAGATCTTTCAGGAGACAATAGCCCTCATGATGAAACGTTTATCTGAAGCTCAACAGCACCCTTTGGTTTCACTTTTTTTTTGCATTCAAATAAAACTAGAACTTTTATAAAGTACAGCAATCCCCCCATCCTGTCTGTACACATGAATTAAACCACACACATCACCGTCGATTTTCTGACTTGTAGCGATCCTATAGGACAGAGTAGAACTGCCTCATAGAGTTTCCAAGGAGTCGCTGGTGGATTAAAACTGCTGATGTGCTCTTATGTGCCACCAGGACTCCGAAAACCCAGAGTACGTATGAATAGACGTCTGGAAATATGTCATCCGCTATTAACAGTGGCAGTTTTTAAGTAGGGGGGTTGTGACTTCTGTGTGTTTTTATAAAATAAGATCATCATTCTTTAAAAAAAAAGTGGTAAGAATATTTAATCATATCTGCTGTATATGTGTTACTAAAATTCATATAAACAATACTTTTCTTCCATAGGCTGTTGACTTCACCTCAGTTCAGTGGGTTTTTACCGTCTGTCATTCCTCCTCCCACATCACCATAAATGGGTAGGATTATTTATGTGTAGTGTTGACTTTTTTTTTTTAATTGTACTTCAAGTGAAGGCTTACAGAACAAATAGTTTCTCATGAAACAGAAGTACACATGTTGTTTTATGACATTGGTTAACAACCCCACAACATATCAACCCTCCAACTTCTCAAACTTTTTTTTTGGTGAAAATACACATAGCCAAAGATACACCATTTCAAAAATTTCTACATGCACCGTTCAGTGACATTGACTACGCTCTTCGAATTGTGCTGTTATTCTCACTTAAGATGAAGGCTTACAGAACAAAATAGTTTCTCATTTAACAGTTACGACAAATGCTGCCCTATGACAATGGTTAACAATCTCACAACACATCAACAATATCCTTACTCAACCTTGGGTTCCCTATCACCAGCTTCTTTGTCCCCTTCTGCTTTCTGGCCCTTGTCACTGGACTCCTGTACCTCGTTAGTCTCATTTGGTTTTACGGGGCTGTCCACTCCCAGGCTGAACAGTGAACCTCGGAGATAACTTCACCACTGAGCTAAAAGGGTGTCTGGGGGCCATACTCTCGGGGTTTCTCCCGTCACCTTTAGGCCAGTAAATCTGTTTTTTTTTGTGTGTGTGAGTTAGAATTATGCTCTACATCCTTTTCCAGCTCTGTCCAGAACCCTCTGTTGTGATCCTGGTCAGATCAGTCAGTGGTGGTAGCCGGGCACCATCTAGCTGTACTGGACTCAGTCCGGTGGAGGCCTTGGTAGCTGTGGACAGTTAGTCCTTCGGACTGATCTTTTCCTTGTATCCTGTTCTCTTCATTCTCCCTTGCTCCCGAAGGGATGAGACCTGTGGAGTATCTTAGATGGCCGCTCACAGGCTTTTAAGACCCCAGACACTACTCACCAAAGTAGAATGTAGAGCATTGTCTTTATAAGCTGTGTCATGCCAATTGAGCTAGATGTTCCCTGAGACCATGGTCCCCAGAGCCCTCTGTCCAGCAATTCAGTCCCTCAGGGAGTTTGGATGTGTCTATGGGGCTTCCATGACCTTTCCTTCTACGAGTTGTGTGTTTTTAACAAAAATTATTGATTTACAATATTTGCCATAATTACATAAAATGTAAATTCATCTTACTGCTGTTCTTTTTAAAAGCAAAAACAACCTTTTTTCCTGATAATAAAAGGTACATAGAATAGTATGTAAACAGGAAAAAAATTCACCCATAATTCCATTGCTTGTAAATATGTAGTGTAAACTAAAATTTTGTTATTTCTCATTAGTCTTTTTCTGAGCTTTATTTATATTTTGTAGTTGAGATGATACTTTATGTATATTCAGTCTTTGCAGATAGTCACATGTATGTGACTATTAAAATGTCACCTTTGGATGACATTCAAGTTTACCTGTTGAAGAGAGCAAGGGATAGGATCTCATTCCCAGAAAGATATGTTTTCTAAAATCCTGAATTATCATATTAAAGTTTAGAGTTCTTTTTCTGTACACATCTGTCTTAGTCATCTAGTGCTGCTCTAACAGAAATACCACAAGTGGATGGCTTTAACAAAGAGAAGTTTATTTCCTCACAGTCCAGTAGGCTACAAATCCAAATTCAGGGCATCAGCTCCAGGGGAAGGCTTTCTCTCTCTGTCGGCTCTGGAGGAAGGTCCGTGTCATCAATCTTCTCTTGGTCTGGGAGCATCTCAGCACAGGAACGTCAGGTCCCAAGGATGCGCTCTGCTCCCGGCACTGCTTTCTTGGTGGTACGAGGTTCCCATGTGTCTCTGCTCGCTTCTCTCTTTTATATCTCAAAAGAGATTGGCTCAAGACACTATCCAATCTTGCAAACCTCATCAGTATCAACGGCCACTAATCCGTCTTATTAGATCATAGTGATTGAGTTTACAACACATAAGGAAATCACATTAGATTACAAAATGGTACACAATCATACAATACTGGGAATCATGACCCAGCCAAGTTGACAGGTATTTTGGGGGGACACAATTCAATCCATGACAACATCATTGTTTAAGATATTAAAAACTACATTGCAGATAATTTTCTAAATTCTTACTGCAAGTTCTAATCCCTTCTAATGATAAGATAAGAAATTGACTTTAGTGCTAGGAAGTTCTTGCTGATGATAATTTCTGCAAGGGGTTACACGAAACAGTGCTGCTAACTTAATGATTTCAATAATTGTGATGACAGGGTCAGGAGCTGGTTGAATGGACACGGGAAATCGGGAGGAAAGGAGGAGTGTGCTATCACAGTACAGAGAGAGCAACTAGGGTCACATAACAATGTAGGTATAAATTTTTGTATGAGAGACTACTCGAATTGTAAACTTGCACTTAAAGCACAATAATAATAATTGTGGTGAAAAAAAATTGCCTAGAGAAAATGGAGCACCAGTCTCCTGACAGAGTGTGGTGCAAGCTACAGCCTCTGCTGGTGGGTCTTTGGATTACTGGTTTTTCTCTCTGTATTTGTTTGGGTCATTGGAGTTTGAAGTACTAATCCTCACTCTGTAATTTTAAAAATTGCTGTTTTTTCTAACTCTACCCTTACCTTTTAGACGGTTTTCTGTGATCCATTTCCAGCTTTTCATTTTTTTCCCTATAATTTTTCCTTGCTTCACAATTAAGCATACACTTAAGTCCAGCCAACAAGCATTTGATTGAAGCTAAAGGTCCATTGCTTTTTGCACACATAAAGATTTCTAAATATGCTCAATTGTATTGTCACTACTATCAGCACTTTATTTTTATGTCTTCTGCTCATTTTTATAAAATAATACTGAAACAAAATCCAATAATGGCCACACACTTCAGGTCAAATAAAGATGGTGAAGATGCAGAAACAAATATTGGCTGATGTTGCCATGCAGTAAATAAAAGGTTCATTCATCATCTCCTGCCTAAAGTTGTAAATTCTACATAAGAAAGGTGATTGCCTTCAACGTGTGGTCTCACAAAAATTAAATAACAAAGTCAAGGACAGCATTTTACTTTTAAAAATATTTCTGCATTAACACTTCTATTATCAGAAACTTCATAAACAATAAATGCATATCATTCCTCTGTTTACATGTACCCTTCCCATATTGTTGGAAACCTGTGTTGAAACATTCCCTTATCTGACCCACCCCTTTTCCAAACCTGCTCTGTGACAAACCAACTCCATTTTATCAGCTAGTCCCAGGAAGTTCACCTTGCCTGAGCTGAAAACCCACTGTCTTGGAGGAGACTGCCTCCTCTGCAGCCTGCTCAAATGGGAGCTTTTTGTTTTTTAATTTCTCACATCAGGGCTAGAGGTGGGTGATGGCCTTTTTGCTCCCCAGTTCTGGTTCCAGGCCGTCAGTCTCCCTTTCTCCTGCCGAAGTCCCTGCTCCTTTGAAGCACCCACTGTTGAGCTGTAGCACCCTTTGCCATTCTTTGTTGTCATCTATTGAACACTTTCCCTGCCTCCTTCATTTGGGGAAGACTCCCACCTAATTTGCACTCTTCTTCTTTCATCCTGGCCTCTCAGTCCCTTGACTCCATCTTCAACAACCTCAACTTCCTCTTCGCCTCACCTAGGCACTCTCAGGGCCACACTGTGGACCTTGTCAACGTCGGACACCAAGCCCCCTCTTTGTATCGATTTCAGGCATCTGCTCTCTGACCCCCATTTTCTGTTTCCAGCTCATTTGCTCCAGGGTCTCTACTGCCACATTTTTTTTTACCTCATCAAGGTGACTAATCCATTGACACACTCCCCCCATTTCCTGACTATCCATCACCGCTCCTGGTCTATCTTCCTCCTTGTTCAGTCTAGATTTCCTAATCCATTATTTTAATGACTCCTTCAAAAAATGCTGTCCATTCCCTTGCCCCTCTCTCCTATCATCATATTTGCCTGCCACAACTCCTGCCCTGGATGAATTCCATGTCTGCTGGAAGAAAGTCACCCAACAGTCTTCATGATTCACTTTCAGTTCAGGACCTCAGGCCTCAAGTGGGCGTCCAACATTGCCCTGCAGTCCTTCTCTCTCTTCAGTAAGGCTCAATTCTCAACTTCCAAGACAAATATTTTCTATT